TTATTTCCGCCTGGAAAACTGTCACATTCTCAGATAGACTTACCGGAAAATGTATCGCTTGATTTGTCGTTACTATGCCGGCTCCCACACCATTCAATGTTTTTAAGCCATCCGTGTACCAGGTAGCAGCAGATTGTATGGGTACATATGGCTACAGTCTTCCTTGCCTGGTATCTTAATTGTAAACCTATTGTTAAAGCTATATCCCGTAGCTGTTGCATCGATTGGTTGCCCCATTACAATATCGGCTTTTAGGTCCTCAATTAGCTTTCTGTTGTCAGCACCATGGATCTGGCTTATATGTAACTGACTATGGATTAATCTGTGCATCACTGATCTGGCTTCGCCCTGTATAAAGATATGAAGTGGTGGTACATTCAGCAGGACTTCCAACGATGCAGTAGAAGTTGTTTTTATGGCACCCGTAATACATAGGCATGCTAGCCTTTGTGTATTACGTAGAACCTACTTGCTAGGTCTTTATTCATCACGTTACCAAGCCATAGGTTATCATTGTCTAACAGCCTTGGGGTTAAGTCCCCAATTCTTACCGCACATTCTTCTACATCTGCCCAGGGACATAGTGCGCTACCTGGAACGAGACAGGGAGCCTCCTTGCTGACAGTCTGTGGATGAATGAAGGTAGTGCTTCGGAAGTAATGCCGGCCTTACAGCGGCCATTCCGCGTCCGATCGCTGGATGACAGGGGAGGGTCTGGTTTAGCAGCTAGGCATTCGGTGTAGACTCAGCGATAAAAGGTCATCTAAAAGTACCTCGGGGACTACCGCCGGGAGTAAGAAGAACGAATCCTCCACTAAGGTCAGTCAGGTGTAGTCCTAGACTGAGATGTCTTTTGAAGATTCCAGACCCTCTCTATAAAGAGGAAAAAAAGGATGGGTGCTCGGGCTGCTGCATGTATAAGAGAAAGAAACAAGATCTAAGACACAAATTTTGCTGGTTTAAATTCTCAAAAGATATACTTCTCGGAAAGATTATAGGAAAACGTAGCGTTGAAGCAAGTTGAATATCTTGGCTCCGTTATCTCAAAGAATGGTTCAAGTGTTCTTCAAATCTCGAAAAAATACGCATCTTACGAAGAAGATCGTTAACATATATTAACCCATCTCTTGAAGGTAATAAATGAAGCATCATGTAAATTCAAATGTTGATTTTAAAAAATCATCTCTTTCTGCTTCTTTATTAAACTATTTTCATTTTTGTTTTGTACTTTTATATTTTTTCCTGACATATTGACAGTGTTAAAACTATATGAGGAGCATACATGCAAAAACCGATAAATCCATTTTTGAATTTTTACACCTCAATATGGATTCATATCAATTTATTAACCCTCTCTGTTTTTAGAATATAAAATTCCAGCAAAAACCGATATATTCTCTTTTTTAAGATGATGTACAAAGTTGACCAGTTCGAGCAAATCGATAAATTTAAATATCAAGCAAAACCTGACATATCTTTAAATAATTAATTCGCCATTTATAATGTAAATCCATAATATCGTGCGTACTTATAGTAGATTTCTTTATACTGTTAGTAGTTTGTGTATTAAAAACGAGAGGATTGTGTCACCTTAATCACGTTGTCGGAATTAATGGGGAAAGGATTAAGAGGTTATGTTATGTTGTTTATGAATTACGTATTAAGCAGTTGTTTAACATAATTCTATTAAGTTTTTACCATGGAAGCAAGTGTGTTGTAAGCAAGTGAGACCAAAAGGCAGAAATTTCAAAAGCAAAGGTAACAGTTAAAAACTAAGTTAAGATGTTCGTTACCCAACCAATTTTTTGTTTTAGATATCGTGATAGCGATCCTCATTTGGAAAACCTTACAAGAGTTTTCAAACATAATGGCCCTACTTATCACTGTTGAAATGCATTGTTGAAAGTGACATTAGAGCCATTCGAATTAAAATTTTTGAAAATAATGTGAAGTGGGAACAGGATATCAAATGTGTCATTACATGTCAGTAGTTTCAATTGAAAGGAAAAGATCGACAACAGAACGAGCAGTCAAGGGCATAACTTTTCCGTACCCTACTTCTTGTCGAAAAGAGTCAACAAGAAAAAAGTTCAGGTATGCCAGGCATTTTCCTTGAAATATGTGAATATTAAAAAAGATCGCATAAACTACGTTGCTAAAATATTGACAAACGGAAATATTCCAAAAGAAAATCGGGGTGGAGATCACGTGTTCACAAACTCTGTTGTCAAAAAGAATAAAATAAGAGAGTAAGAGAGTTTATTGGTAAACCACAAGGAAGAGAAAATCATTATAATAGAAAGAAAGCAAGGCGAATTTATTTGGCCGCTGATCTAAGCATAAAGAAATTACATGGTATGTACCTCACTCAATGCGACCGTGAACATAATGTAAACTTTTCGATGTTTAGAAGGATATTCGTTAATGATTTTAATATTGGGTTTTCTACTTCAGCATCAAATGTATGCGCACAATGTACTAGACTTAAATTCAAAATTAGAACAGAAATTAACGAGGTAAAGAAAAGAGAGTTTCGTACTGAGTTGGTATCCACCAAAAGAGGGCTAATGCTTTTTATAGTCTGCTAAAAGAAACTCCTGAAAATTCCATTACATTCTGCTTTGATATGCAGCAGGTGCAGCCTTTGCCCAAAACACCTATTAATAATGCGTTTTATGCACAGGAGATTAGCATGAATGTTTTGTGCTGCGTTGATAGCCAGTCCAAACAACTTTTTTTATGTGGACTGAAGATCAGGCAGGTAGGGGATCAATTAAAATAAGTTCTGCACTTGTAAATTATTTGGATTCTTTAAAGCACGGTAATATTACACTTCGCCTCTTTTGCGACGGATGCGGTGGACAAAACAAAAACTCTCATATTATTCATTCGCTCTACTTCTGGCTTATATTTAAAGCTCCAGTTCAAGTAACAGAAATATTACTTGTATTTGCAGTCAAAGGCCATTCGTATTTGCCAGCAGACAGGGTATTTGGGAGAGTAGAAAAGCTTCTAAGAAAAAAAGGCACAATTCTCTCTAGAGGGAGATATCAAGAAATTTACAAATAAATTGGAGTTGTTAAAAAGATGGGCACTGATTGAAGATTGTTTAATATGAAAGAGCTTTAAGTAGGCTTGAAAAAAGTGCAAGCGCTAGCCGACACAAAGATTATAATAAAAAAATTAACAATGGCAAATTTATAAAAATACGATATTTTAAAACTATTATTTTATCAGTGAGCTGAACAATTTTGAAAACTTTGAAACCAAAATTTTTCGATATTGAGTTGACCATCTCAAAAAAAGAATTGACTCGGGGTATCCCCGAAAGGAAAAAAATCCCTTAAATACTTAATTAAATCAACAGTTCGATAAAGATTGGGGAAATTACAAGAACTTGGCTGATACCGGCAATTGCTTAATGGCAAAAGTTCAAATAAAAAGGATGAGGAGGAAGAGGAAGGGGAGACATGTAACTACCTGGAAGAGGTACCAAAACTTCAGATTTGATTTTACTTTTTTACTTTTTTCAAATTGTTAAATACTTATAATAAAATAATTTTCTACATACTAGTTCGTTAATTAACAACAAAAATATGGTGCTCTTGCAAAGATCTTTCAGGCAAAAACCGATAAATTTCTGTTTTCAAGCAAAACCCGATAAATTAAAAAAAATCAAAAATAAAAACAGTAAAAAAAAATAATATACTAGAATTTTATAACTACTAATTATTTCCAATATGATGTTTTTTTAAATTGTTATGGGATTTTGCTGTACAAGTTTTTGGCTTTATACTCAATATTGGAAAATTTGGATTTATCGGTTTTTGCATGTATGCTCCTCATATATGTTAGATTATCTTCTTATACGGCATTCTTCATTGCGCTAATAAATTTATCACAGTTTTGATTATTAGCTATGAAATACATACATCATTGTCACAATACATTGTCACTTCTATTCATTTTATTATATTATTAAAACGTTTAAATTACAATTACATTTTATTTTAATTTAATTCTAATTTAACTTTAATTTAATTTATTCTAAGGCCGGATCTGGATATTTGTAATAAAATTTTGTGACTTTTATTTTAAAATTTAATTTCTTGTGGGCACTAGCTACTCTCTTATCTGCCAAAAAAACGCGTAGAAATGTCTAAGCGGGTCGACCACTCGGACTTAAAACAATCGCCAAAACCAATTTTTCAAGCTTTTACATAATTATTTATTTACTCAAAACTTGTTAAAATTATTGAAATATGTAATTCTATTTTACTTTTTTGATTGTATTATTTTATTCACTACAATCAACTGTATATACTAACTTTTAACACTTTTTTTTGAGCTCCGGTTAAATTTTCTAACTTATAATTCCCCAATTATTTGAATTTTTATTACAAAGCGAAAATCAACCAAACTACTGTTGTCACTTGTAGGACTCAACTAAATTTCATTGTTTATTCAAATTTCCATTTTGGTCCTCATAGGCCTCACCCGTGTGTGTGTGTGTGTGTGTGTGTGTGTGTGTGTGTGTGTGTGTGTGTGTGTGTGTGTGTGTGTGTGTGTGTGTGTGTGTGTGTGTAATTTTGTTTCGCCCGGTTGCTGGGGGGTTAATATTTTCCAATTTAATGTGTACAACTTTTCTATCAATTTCTCTTTATAAACTATTGCATCAAATTCTTATTCTTAAACTGCTTGGGTCTTATAACAGTTTATAAACTTCTAAATGGGTAGAATTTATTAACAATAAATTTATTTCTATCAAATGTGACATGTCACTTGAATGACATGTCACAAGTGACATGTCATATGTACAATAAACAAAACATCATTTAAGGTCAAGTGAAAATGTCTTAGCACCGCGGATAGAAGATACATGCTTGTTTTTCTCTGCATTATAGTTAAATATGTAGGTAAGAACATGTGTAAATGATGATGCAATGAAAGGAACTAAACACGTCATTATTTTTTTTGATAATTTATTGATATATTTTTGTGAACATTATCCTGTATCCATAAGACTATAATTTGTACTTGCACTGGAAAATAATTATATCTTTGAAGAAGCGTGAATCTTCTCATAATTTTGCATAGTTACTCTCGTGGACCACTCTGTCCTGATCTAGATCACTTATTACTGAACACCCTGAAAGAAATACCGAAGCTGTTTCCTTTATAATTCACAGGTTTGTGAAATTTTAGTAAAAATATGAAAGTTACATAAATAATAGCATTTAAACAATGATAAAAAAATTCAATATAAGGTTGAATGTTCGAATAATTAAACTTTGAGGGTATACAAGGCAACTATCGAACACGGTGATTAATTTAATCTTGCCCAAGTACTTTCGATCAATAGATCATCTTCAGGGGCATTTCGTCAGTTGTGGCCTATCCGACATAGTAGAATGTCATAAATGTAAAATTTGGACATAACAATACAAAATACAATACACAAAGACAAACAAACACTTTAAAATTTTAAGGAGAAGCTACATGTTGTATAGAAGCCGGAGACAGAATCATTCTGTCTCCGGCTTCTATACAACATGTAGCTTCTCCTTAAAAAAAAATTTTAAAGTGTTTGTTTGTCTTTGTGTATTGTATTTTGTATTATTGTTCTGAAGCTATTTTCTTGTGGCATTGTAAATTAATTACTATTTATAACTGGGAATAAGCCACAATTAAAGATAAAAATACATTTATTGACGTTTCAATTTCCAATTCGGAAATCGTTCTCAAAATACAAATAGTAAATTAAACAAATTTTGTTTTTTGTTACATAGTGAAAAAATTCTTCTGATAATTTAATTTTATCTGACTCATTTATATTGACAATTCAGACATACATTATGCATTTTAAAGTAGACGACTTTAAAATGATATTGCCAATATTGTTGAGTTGCGCTCCTGGGACGACTTTACTTATAAGATAGTTCATTCGATTACATGAAATCAACTTTAACTTGAGAATATCCGTCAGAAAAAATCATAGCATGTAATTCGTCTTTAAAAAGACAAACACATGACATGATGACAGTAAAATTCTCCTGTTAGTGATTCCATAGTAAATTATGAGGGAAAAACCAGGAAAAAAACCTCATAATACTATCCCGACATTGTAAGTATTTGTTCGTGAATTTAGTTTACCTTCAACAAACATCAAAATTCTGATTTTATGTTACGTTATTTAAAAAACATAAATGATGTATCCTCTATATGTTACTGACTTACTAATACTGGTATTTTTTTATTAATAACTTCCTCTTTCAATATTGGTAACCAGATCCTACTACATTCTGCCGAGGAATTTGCGACACAATTGGCCTCATTTAGCATAATTAGAGCCGCTTCTTTGATTTTTCTTTTTTTTATTTCAAATTTACTATTTGTATTTTGAGAACGATTTCCGAATTGGAAATTGAAACGTCAATAAATGTATTTTTATCTTTAATTGTGGCTTATTCCCAGTTATAAATAGTAATTAAAGTATTTTGTATTGTTATGTCCAAATTTTACATTTATGACATTCTACTATGTAGGATAGGCCACAACTGACGAAATGCCCCTGAAGATGATCTATTGATCGAAAGTACTTGGGCAAGATTAAATTAATCACCGTGTTCGATAGTTGCCTTGTATACCCTCAAAGATAAAAAAATTATCGAGAATTAAGATTAAGAAACTTTGATAAAATTTATCATTTAAGTATTAAAATTGTGATTACTTCACAAAATAAATGAAAATTTTAATTAAAAAATAATAAAACACATGAATTTTAGAGATTACTCTTGAGATTTAATATAAAATTATTCCCCTAATGCATGTTAGTTTATTGAATGTCTGTTTTGGAAATAAACACAAAGTGAAAAGTAAATTTGCAATTGAATACTGCGATTTGATATCTAAATATTATTTTACTAGTTTCTAAACCCACCCAACCCAACACCCATTCCGATCATTTCAGAACAGAGGCAGGTGTCAGGCAGGGATGCATAATCTCGCCAACTCTGTTTAATATCTACAGCGATCACATTATGCGAAAGGTACTAGACGGATGGAAGGGCGAAATATCAGTAGGAGGTCAAAAGATCAATAACTTGAGATATGCTGATGACACTCTAATAATCGCGGCAAATCAAGAAGAAATGGAAGACATAATGAGATATCTGGAGGAAAAAATCAAAACTTGTGGACTAAAGCTAAATAGGAATAAGACAAAGATCATGATAGTAGACAGATCTCGGAATAATCTTCAACACATTAAAGAAATTGGGGGCTTTGAAGTAGTAAATAGTTTCATATACCTGGGGTCCCTAATAACACATACCGGAGGGTGTGACAGAGAGATACGTAGAAGGTTGACTATTGCTAGAACAGCTATGACGAAACTAGTAGCAATTTGGAAAAATTCTAGCTTAACAATACACACAAAACTAAGGCTGGCAAGGGCGCTCATTTTTCCAATAGCCACATATGCATCCGAAACGTGGACTTTAAATAAAGCGGATAAAAATAAACTGGACTCTTTTGAAAAGTGGGTATACCGCCGCATATTGAGAATGACCTGGATTGATCATCGCACTAACGTATCGATATTAGAACAACTTAAAGTAAAGGATAGATTGCTTAAACTAATATAACAGAGATGTTTGCAGTATTTTGGACACATTGCCAGAAGAACAGGGTTGCCAACAGTACTGCCAACAGTACGATGGAAAAACTGATAGTCGAGGTAGAGTTGAAGGAAAGAGACCTAGGGAAAGATCTCCAAGCCGTTGGGTAGATCAAACAAAAATATTGATTAACCAAGAGTCACATGAAGCTGAACAACTACCCCAGGACAGAGAAGGATGGAGGGAAATTGTGAAAAAACTGTGAAGGCCTGATGGTGTCACCACATCCCAAAAGGGATTAGGACTGAGGAGGAGGGTTTCTAAACATAATAAAACTGTGTCATGGTCATAGCGCGCCAGGATATTTCAGGAGTGCATCTGCTTTTCAGGAGGGTGCAAATGCACCCTTTGCACCCTGCTGCCGCTGCCCATTTACATGGTTAAAGATTAACCGACTCCACTGACTAACAACTTAAATAGTGTGTTATAAACTTAAATATATTTAAAATATAATATTTAAAAATGGCTGTACGCTTATTAAACTTGTAAAATTATAAAAATTACTTATCAAAAGTCATATTGGTTGTTACAGAAATCAATCACTTAGTTAAAAAGTAATAAAAACTTATAAAAAATCCATAAAATTCGTAATGTAATTTTTTTTTTGGAAAATTAAGAAATAAGAAAAAAACGAGTGCGACTTATTGGTCCTTCAATAGCATGATACTGTAATAGTTTTAGTAACATTTAGTGGTGAAGTATACCATCGATTCCTACCATCTTTTGGGACTATTTGTCAGATGGTTAACAAAATAAACCAGCACGCAGGCCGTCTTTTCGACGTTTTCATTCCTTAAACCTTTATTAAGGCATGGTGACACTCTAAATATTGTTAGCTTGCTGCCTCCATTGACTGCGATCCTATGCCAGATGGACGGCTTGTTCATCTTGTTGGAGAAATTCTTCTTGGTCTTCTTACCTTTCCTTCTACTAGCAATAGTTTCAAAGTCCCCATGCTCCTGACAATGTGGCCGAAGTAAATTAGGCTTGCTCGACTCACTTTCTTAAATAGCCTGTCTCTATATTTAGCTCTTGCAGAATTAATAGGATGGTTCATCCTATGACACACATCCTATATTAGCACGGTGAAATGACAGATGGACTAAAAATTAATTATTTTAAAACAAAATTCATAGTATATACCTTATCAAAATACACAATTATAAATAGATGGATAATCAATACAAAGAGTATCAAATTTTAAATATCTGTATTGCTATATATCGGAACAATTAGACCAAGCTAGAGCTATAAAAAGTAGGATTAAGACGGCTAGTACAAAGCTCGCATTACTGTGTCCGTTTTTCGTGCCGGTCAGTGTATAAAAAATTACAGCCGCCGAATCTGTGAACATAGCAAGAGGCCAATCCTAAAATGGATGTGGAAATGTGATGGGATGAAGAAATGGTATCCATACATCAATTGGGATTCAAACCGACGTTCAAATGGCAGACCTCTATGAAAATATTAGAAATAAAAAATTACTATTATGTTGCTACCTTCTTTTTTTTCTACTTCCTCAGCTTTTCTCGTTTCAGAGGTCGCTTTTCATTACTCTTCTGAGCCACTCATTTCTATCCATCATGTCTTCTTCATTTAAACGTTCTCTCTCAAGTCCCCTGTCATACAGTCCTTCTATTTTCTCTTTGGTTTTCCTCACCTCTCTTTCCCGCAACTTCTAACAGCTGTATTCTTCGGCCCGCATAGTTCGTCCTTATTTCTACCATCCTACATCTGGCCTAGAGCCTATATTTGACATGATCATTGCAGTTTTTGTTCTTAAACCTTGTTTTATCTTGCTTTAAAGTTAAAACCTAAAAGAATTTTTCGCCATCATCTATATGGTAGATATTTTACCAGTCAATATTTTATCTTTATCTTATTATTAAAGCAAATATTCTACTATCTATAATAGTTTTTAGTAAACAACGTAACATTTTACTCGTTTGCCTTTATATTTTTGATTTCTTAAGATTTTTATGTGGCACCGTTTACAATGTTTTATATAATTCCTTTAAGAGAGAAAAAATTATGTGAAATCTATTCAGCGAAATTGTAGAACAGTAACTAGGAAAAAAGACATAGATTAAAGACTTTAAGATACATATCCCCTAAAAATACTTGTAACCAAATATAAATGGTAATAAGATAAAAAACTAAAAATTATAGACTTAATGAAATTTCCATTATATTATATAAATTTTTTGTGATTTTAGTAAAAATAACCCAAGTAAAATACCTGTAAGACACATGGCATTATCTAGTTCTTCTTGTAAAATCTTCAAAATATTTTTAACACCTTCCGATCCATCATGAACCAAACCCCATATTACGGGTCTGCCAATAAATACCATTCTAGCTCCCAGAGCTAGAGCTTTATATACATCAGTACCATCTCTTATTCCTCCATCCATATATACTTCAACTCTATGTCCAACTGCCTTTATTACCTCTGGTAATGCTTCTATCTGAAATAATTTTACACTGGAAGATCAAGTTATGATTTTATTTATATTAATATCATATCATACCGTTGATGGAGTACTATCTAGCTGTCTACCTCCGTGGTTAGACACAAGAATAGCAGAAGCTCCGGCATCTGCTGCTGCAATAGCGTCCTCAGCTGTAAGTACTCCTTTTATTACAATTGGTAGTTTAGTGACAGTTATTAACCATCTAACGTAGCTCCAATCTGCGTCTAAATCCGATAGATTAACAAAAGTTGGTAACATGTTGCTCTCATGATATCTTTCAAGAAGGACATACCTTAAACAATACAAAATCGTATGGCATTAATTAATACTTGGTATATTTAAAACACACAAACAGAAATCAGATTAGTTGGTAGAATAAGGACTTAATGTACAATTCGCTAAAAATAATTTTCATAGATACCTTAGCACAAACTAAATTACTTTATTTTTGAAAGTGTTTAGCATAACTTTTTTCCGTTAAATATTGAATATTTAATACGTCCCTAGCTGATGACGTGACAGCGACCAAAAACTGTTTACTTCTAAATGTTTTTGATGAATGAATCATCTGAAAACAAAAATTAGCGACGAAGTTGTCTAATTTGTCCTCTAGTTTGTCCTCGACAAATTGCGTTTTAATTTAAATAAGGTCCCCAAAAAAACTTCTAATACCGAGTGCTCGTATCCAAAGCATCTCACAAGAGAGATCCGATTAGTTGCGAGTGAAATCCGGTACGAGAATGTACGATTTTAACACGACGAAGGCGTGTTTGAATTTTTGAAAAACCGGCAAAGTTTCTCTTAATTCCATGTGTGTGGTGAGAAGAAGGTGATTTGAGTTTGATGGCATCAAACTTGTAATGGATCTTTGTAATGTGAGTTAATTACCGTTAGTTGTGAGCTGTATCCTGTGTCAAGGGATTTGATAAGAGCGTCCTGAGAGCTAAGTAAGCCGACACGATTTTAAGTGGAAAATAAGCAGCCGTGTTAGAATCATCACCTATTGTTATCATACAGGATACCTAACCTGAAGTCCAGTTTTGATATTTGATTTGATTTCTCCCAGGATTTGTCTAGCCTTCATTTTGTGTCTTCCAAAGGTCAGATTTTACCTCCGCCGTTGCCTGTTCCCAAGTCCAGCATGAGAAAGGAGGAGGGTTCAGCAAGGGACTAACTATTCCTTCTTGTAAAAAAACATAGTTATGAAAACGAAGCAAATGCCACGGGTAAGAACGGATCTTTTAAGAGCCTATATCGGAATGGAACGTATTAAGCCTATATCGGCCTGGAGCCCTAACCCAGGTGGTCAAAGAACTTGAATCCAGAAACATGGACATAACTTCTTTACAAGAGATTAGATGGACTGGAGTAGGTACACTAAAAACTAATAAATCAGTAGTATTTTTTCAGCAAAAGCGAACGGGAACATCAATTCGGCACTGGTTTTATAGTCAGGAAAAGTCTTGTGGGATCAGTTTTAACTTTTAAACCCGTTAATGAAAGACTCTGTTATATCAGACTCCAAGGACAACTACATAACTATTCCCTAGTTGCTGCTCATGCACTGACAGAGGAAAAGGAAGAGCATGTAAAAGATAACTTCTATGAGAAACTAGAAGAACTGATAAATAATCTACCCAAACAGGACATGCATATTATCTTGTTAAAGAAGATTTCAATGCAAAGATTGGGAAGGAAGCAGCGTATAAACCAACAATAGGTAACCATAGTCTTCACGATGTCAGCAACGATAATGGAACAAGGTTAATGAACTTTGCAGCGTCCCACAACCTACTAATAAAATCGACAATGTTCGAACACAAGAAAATACACAAACAAACATGGGTCTCCAACGACGGCGTCACAAGAAATCAGATAGATAATGTTCTAGTAGATGTCAGGAGGGGTAGTAACTGTCTAGACGTAGGAAGCCTAAGAGGAGCTGATGGAGACATAGATCATTTTCTGGTAAAAGCGAAGATAGGGACAAGAATAGCGTCCAAAAAAACACACAAGAATACAACAACTCAATTATGGAATACCGAAGTTCTACGTAATAAGGAGACAGAACAGAAATTTCAAAAGGCTATAAAAATCGCTCTAACACAGACAGAAGACTATAACAACATAGACTCAGCTTGGAAAAATATCAAATTAGCTTTGACAAGCGTATCAGAGTATCAGGAACAAATAATCAGAGATATAGAAGAAAAAAGAAAGAACAAAAAAGCGAGACAGTTCTTCAAAGGAGTTTCAGATATCAAGACCGGGTACCAAGCAAGAACAGGAAACTTCCTTCAAAACGACAGTGAACAGCTCATCACGGATGAAAAGGAAATCCTAAAAACCTGGAAGAAATACTTCTATCAACTATTGAATGACCAATCTAGCAGAAACACATCAAACATAGAGTTATATACAGCTGAAATAGAAGACCAATACCCGACATACGAAGAAGTAATACAGGCAATTAAAAAATTTAAAAATAATAAGACACCAGGTAGCGATGGTATACCCGCAGAGTGCTTAAAACATGGGGGAGAAGCGTTGTACAGTTCTATATACAAGCTAATTCAAGACATTTGGCGAGAAGAAACAATGCCAGATGAATGGAAAGAAGGGGTTATTGTACCAATACACAAAAAAGGAACAAAAAGCAATGTATTAACTACAGGGGAATAACACTCTTAAATACCACTTACAAAATCCTTGCAAACATCCTGCTAGAAAGAACCAAAACATGCACAGAAGGAATCGTTGGAGATTATCAATGCGGATTTAGACCGGGCCGCTCTACTATTGACCAGATATTCACAATAAAACAGATAATGGAAAAATGCTGGGAGTTTAATCGTGAGCTTCATCAGATGTTCATAGATTTTAAACAAGCATTTGATAGAGTATGCAGGGACAGACTGTGGAGAGCGATGCAGGAACTTGGCTTTCCAAAAAAACTAGTCAGGTTGATACGGATGTGTATGGAACGGTTACGATGTAAGGTGAGAGTTGGACAACAATACTCGGAGACATTTGAAATAAACAATGGACTAAAACAGGGAGATGCACTTTTATCACAACTCTTCAACCTTGCTCTGTAGCACATAATCAGAAGTGCAAGAATCGAAAAACCGAATACAGTATTTCATCGAGAAGGACCAAACTTACCACTGGCATTTGCAGACGATATCGATCTAATAGGAAACACACGATTAAGGATGAAGGAGATTTTCGTGAGGTTCGAGAAGGAAGCAGAGAAGATAGGGCTCCAAATCAACGAAAACAAGACGAAATATATGTATAGAGCCGCAATAACCAAAGCAGAGACAGAATCGGTCAGAACAGCACCATCGATGACTTTAACTTTTAGCGCGTTAGAGAATTAAAGTATCTTGGAACAACAATAACTGAAGACAATAACGGATCGCAAGAAATAAACAACAGGATTCAGGCCGGCAACAGATCTCTTTTTGCCCTCCAAACCTTATAAAATCGAAACAATTATCACGACGTACGAAGATACAGGTCTATAAAACAATCATACGACCCGTTGTGATGTATGGAAGCGAAACGTAGACGATAACAAAGGCAAACGAAGAGAGACTATGTGTTTGGGAAAGAAAAATCCTAAGGAAGATCTTTGGTTCTGTGCTGGATAAAGCATTAGGACAATATGGGATAAGAACTAACAAAGAGCTCGAAGAACTTTACCCAGACGCCAACATCATAAAAGAAATAAAGTCTAGAAGACTCCAATGGGCAGGACACCTCAGAAGACATTCTGACGAACGAACAGTAAGAGTGGTGTGGGAGGAAGTTCCAACTGGAAAGAGATCACGCAGACGCCCTCGTCTCCGGTGGCGAGGTAATATAGCAGGAGACCTAAGCACTATGGGCGTGGAGAATTGGATGGAGGTTGCTCAAGACAGAAAACAGTAGATGCATGTTGTCGAGTCGGCTAAAACCCACCAAGGGTTGTAACACCACGGAGTAAGTAAGTAAGGAAAGGTCAGACTTTGATTGTTTTAAGTTTATGGGACAACATTTTTTGTACAAATCTACGGTAACGAGCTTTTTTAATAATTTAAAAAGAAATAACTAGCCAGTGAAGTGAGAAGTTTTGTTAAATTTTTCTGAATAAACATTTATCGTTAGTACACTAAAATTTGTTCTCATAACAATTAAAAAAGTTTATAAATAAATATAAATTTTATGTATCAGCTAATTGTCATATTTTTTTTTAATAAAATGAACCGTTGATAAATAATTTTTTTAATAATAATATTACTTTGCATTTTTCACCTCTCTGCCATTAATGTTTATGTTTGGGTAGTAATACAAATAATTCTTCATATTCTAAGATTCGCGGGTTAGATAATAATATTGATTAACTTACTTCGCATACGGTGGTAGCACAAATTCATTCCTTAAAATGTATCTTCGTAAACCAGGCATGGTATAATCAATGGTTAGAACCAATGCTTCAAAACCATTTTCTTCTGCTAGTTTTGCAAACTCCTTAGTCATTTCCCTAAAATATATTTAAATAGACGTCTGTATTAAATTAAGGAAAATATTCATAAATATCTAAAATGTGTCACTTATTTCTGTTAGATTTAAAAGACATTAAAAGTTCAAGCCAATATGAATATTAACTTTACCATAGTAAATATTTGTTTTGTTAACTTTTATTAAAACTTATGCAGTCTGCAAAATATAGAGGAACATAACAGAATTAGAAGTTTTATCATCAATGTAGGTAGTGTGTTAGAAATAATTTGTTTCATTTTCCAAAATTCCTAAATTGTTTTGCTCTCTGGTGTAAAACAGTTTTTATGAGGGAATAGACAACGGTTTTTGGTGAAATTTTCACAAAATGTGTAATAAGCTACAAATTACAATTGTAAGTTATCTTTTTATTCATTTAATTTACGTAAAAAAAAAGATTTAAAAGATTATTATTAAAATATTGTATGCAAGATATACAGTAAACATATCAAATACAACAAAAACTTGTATAATTAAGCTTTAATCGCTGTTTAATTACTATTCTTCTTCTTAGAGTGCCATATCCCTACGGAACGTCGGCGACTACCATGCTTATAATATTATTATACTGATATCGGTCTTGGGCTACGTGTAGCAATTGGTCCGCTGTCAAACCTGTCCACTGTCGCAAATTCCTCAACCAAGAGAGTTCTTCCGTCCTATCCATTTCTTTCCTTCGATTTTACCGTCGAGAATTAGCCGAAGGAACTCATATCTTGGTCCTCTGATTATTCTTTCTTCTTTAAGTTCCATCTTCTATCGAAGGTTGGAAATCATCGTGGCTATGCGGACTCTATTGACTGCCGCTCTAAAAAGTTCTGCACTACTGCATTCAAACCATTCCCTTAAGTTCTTAAGCCAGGATATTCTTCGTCTTCCCACATTTCGCTTTCCTCGGATTTTGCCCTGCATAATAAGTTATAATAATGCGTATTTTTGCCCTCTCATCACATGTCCCAAGTACTCAAGTTTTCGTCTTTTAATAGTTAATACTATTTCCGCCTCATTTCCTATCCTTCCAGTTACTTCCATGTTTGACATTCTTTGAATCCATGATATTCGTAGGATTCTTCTGTAACACCAAAATTCAAAGGCGGCCAGCTTATTCAGATGAACTTGTTTTAGTGTCCAAGCTTCCAGACCATAAAGAAGAGTAGAGAACACGTAACATCGAAGCATTCTCAGGCGTAGTTCTAACTTTATATCCCGACAACAAAGAAACTTTTTAAGTTTAATAAATGATGTACGTGCTATTTCAATACGTGTCTTAATTTCTTTGGTTTGGTCTACATCTGATGTTATCCATGTTCCTAAATATTTATAGTTATTAACATTCTCAATTGCAGTATCTTCAATAGTCAATTGGATATTTGCATGTGCAGATTTAGTCATGATCATGCATTTAGTTTTCTTTAAATTTATCTTCAGTCCGTACTCATGACAGCGTTCATTAAGGCGTTGCATTAGGTTCTGTAAATCATTGTTGTTATCCGTAATTATTACTGTATCGTCTGCAAAACGTAAGTTATTCAAAGCTTCTCCATTGATAGATATACCTTCTATTGAGTCTGAGAGCGCTTCTTGAAATACCGCTTCACTGTAGACATTGAAAAGTAGTGAGGACAGCACGCAACCCTGGCGGACTCCTCTCTGTATTTTGATATTTTCGGTGTACTGGCTGTCAACTCTTACCTTGGCAGTTTGATTCCAATATATCTGATTATATGATTATATGACCAAGATATTCTAGTTTACGCCTCTTAATAATATTTAATAGAGTTCGTTGATGTCCCATTCTTCGAAGAACTTCTTCGTTTCTGGTTCTGCTAGTCCATGGAATTTTTAGTATCCTTCGATACAACCACATCTCAAACGCCTCGATTTTATTCATGATATCGGCGTTTAAAGTCCAAGCTTCACATCCATACAAAAGTACAGACCACACGTAACATCTTGTAAACTTTTCACGGATTTCCAAATTTAATGAGTTATTGGATAATAGAGGCTTGAATTTTTGAAATGAGTTTATTGCTTGTTCAATTCTACATCGAATTTCGAAGGGATAGATCTAGATTTTGGGTAATCCAACATCCAAGGTATTTGAATGTCTGAACTCTCTGCAGCGGTTGTTGGTTTAATATTAGTTGGGTTGCGCCGATATCCACTTTACTGGTCACCATTTATTTAGTTTTATCGATATTTATCGACAGTCCCCAATTTGTGAATTCCATGTCAACTCTATTGATTAGTTCCTGCAGATCGTCGATGTTTTTAGCTAGAATCACAGTATCGTCGGCGTACCGTATATTGTTAATTATTTCTCCTCCTATGATAATTCCTTTTTGATCTTTTAAAGCTTCCCTAAATAGATTCTTAGAATACACGTTAAAGAGGGTGGGAGATAGTATACAGCCTTGTCTTACGCCTCGTTCAATACTGATTGACTTTGATTCTCTGTTGTTGGTATTAATAATGGCTGTTTGGTTCCAGTAAAGTTTGGCAATAAGTTTGATGTCTTTCCCATCTAGTTGGATGCTCTGCAAGGCGGTAATTAGTCTGGTATGCTGAACGCGATCAAATGCATTTTCAAAATCAATGAAGCACATATATACAGGTTTTCTTACCTCCCAACATCGTTGAAGGAGTGTTTGCATAGAAAATAGTGCTTCTCTAGTTCCAAGGCATCTCCGGAACCCGAACTGCTCTTGACTAATTATTTCTTCGCACTTGTTGTTAATTCGGTTTAGAAGAATATGCAACAGTATTTTAACGGCATGGCTCATTAAACTAATGAGTCTACAATAGCTACATTTCTTAACGTTTGGTTTCTTAGGTAGAGGAATAAAGATCGATTTTAACCAGTCCGATGGAATTTCACTGGTATCATATATTTGATTGAAAAGTACAGTGAGTTCTTTTATATTGTCATTTGAGAGTAATTTTAGCCATTCGCTGTATATTTGATCTGGTCCACTGGCTTTGTTGTTTTTGGCTTGGTGTATGGCTTTTTCCACTTTATCTTTTAATATTGATGGTTCTGTATTTGCACTTAAGTTAGGTAGTGATCCTCGATCATCCTTAAATAATGCTTTAATGTAGTTTTCCCATTCCTCCATTACTTCGTCTTCTAGGGATAGTGCATGACCTTCATTATTCGTTAATGTTATGGGTGTATTTCTTTTGTGTACTGTAACTTCTTTTATTTTCTTATGTGTGTTAAATTCGTCTTGTTTTCGTTGCAATTCTTCTCGTTCCTCACATTTTGCTTGCATCCATAACTCTTTGGCTTCCCTGATGTTTCGTCGAATCAGATTATGCTTTCGTTTATACTTTGAGTTATTTCTATTTATATTAATATATTAATTACTATAACCGATAGATAAATTAGAAGACAGGAGTACGTCAAATATTCTGCGACGTTGCCGGCGTATACAGAATATCTGGAAACGTACAAAAAAGTAAAAAACAGAAAAAACTGTGCATTTATAGGTTTCAACCATTCGAAGAGTGATTGGGGGTGGGTGCCTTCCGCATTGCAACAGTATTTCTTATTATGGGTCGGACCACGCTATCAGATATTAAGATCTAAATTAATTAGCCAAAAAGCATAGTTATTTTTTTGACATAGGTTTCGTTACGTATTTTGTGTCTCTCTAAATTTGATAATATTTATTGTCTCAAAAATATCTACTGTTCCCTTATTAGATCGGTTTGGAAATATGGTAGCAATATTAGGTCTACCATTATAAATACTACAAAGATCTATTAGAAAGGGTACCGAAAAAGTTCTTAAGATTTATTGCCTTTAAAATGATCTTTGGAAAAGGTTTACTTATTACAAAGACTTATTTTGTTTAGAATTTCATAATCGAACATATTATATTGTAAATAAACCCTTACAGAGAATGTGTAGAAATGCAAACAAATTTAATAGTAAGTATTTGTTTCATTTATCACTAAGTACTATTAAGATAAGATCCAAAATATTTTTTTATGTAATCACATTATACTTTAATAGCTAAGCTAAATTTAAGTTGATTTGTAATAAAATTTCAAGATCGTAAATAAACTTTACATTACATTACATTACATTAAACTACATTACATTACATTACATTACATTACATTACATTACATTACATTACATTACATTACATTACATTACATTACATTACATTACATTACATTACATTACATTACATTACATTACATTACATTACATTACATTACATTACATTACAAACCGGAACACTGCAGCTCGAATGAAGAGGACAAAGAAGAGCAACATAAAATTAAGAAAGCTCCAAACACGTGCATAAAAAAAGAACGTTCAATATTAACGGACATGGTATAGATTAAGAAATTGCTAAGCCAGATGAGCCAAGAAATTAAAGAAGATATCATACAAAGCAAAACATAAATTAAAGATAATATCAAGGTTATTAAAAACAAACTGAAACATATAAAGCAGAAACTTAAGCAAAATAAAAGAAACAGAAAATTTAAAAAGAGAAGTAGAAAAAAATGGAAAAAAGAAAATGAAGAACTCAAAAAACATTAATACTCATGAAAAATAAATTAGAGAAGATCGATAAAGAAAAAATACGGAATGAATTAATCATATCAGGAACTGAGGTAGACCTAGCTAGAAGATGAAGAGATACTAAGAAAAGACATACAAAAAATGATGAAAAAAGAGCTTAAACTGAAAATAGAAATAAATGTGCGTTTAAGATCAGATACAAGAAATGTATAATAGAAACCAAGAGCTGGGAAGACAAACAGAAAATACTGCAAGAAAAAGGTAAACTCAAATACACAAAAGAAGGTAGAGAAATATATATAAATGCAACGCTAATGTCCACGGAAGCAAAAATACAAAAAGAACTCAGATATATAGCAAAACAAGAAAGAAGAAAAGGAGCAAAAGTGAAAATTAGATACCAGAAATTAGAAATAGATGACAAGGCGCTGAAATGGAATGCAAAAGAAAATAAACTCAG